CTTACAACCCTGAGATCACGACCTGAGCCAAAATCAAGAGTTGGATGCTTAGGTTGGATGCTTAACTGACTGAGCCACCCAGGTGCCCCAAACTTTAAAACTTTAGATTATATATGCTTCTCACTTTGCCCAAGGAAATGTGATCACTACTCAGAGTGGTTTTTATTTTAGAGATATTATAGCTTATGCATTTAAATGGAGGTAATTAATGAAAAATCTTAGTAAAGAATTTGCTTAAGATAACTTGTCTAAATTAATATATCTGATAGTTTATTCTCTTGGTCAACATTTGACAAGAGAAACAACATCAAGGTTCGACTTGTCTGGCAACAGAAAACCTAACAGAGGGGAGGTGTCCTTTTTGGGAAAAGCTAAAAACCATTTCTCATGTTTGAAATGAAAAGGTAACATTTTTCTAATTTTATTTCTATAAAGAAGATAGAGGTTTTGAATCACAGAAAAATTTCTGTATTAAAAGATAGCGGGTTTTTTGCAAATATTTTTAAAGCACCTACACAATACCAGGTACACTGCTAAGTGTTAAAGAGATATTTGGAATGAGAGAATTTCCTTGTACTTAGCAGTTTCACTGATTAGTGCAGTGCTCTGTCTTTAGTAAGCATTCAAATATTTGTGGACAGAGTTGCATCTAGAAGAAAACTAGGCAAATGAAGATGTGCTAAATAACAGATAAAAAATCATTTTTCTTTAATTTGTAAGGAAATATATAATGTCTTCATTACATCTTTAAAAATATAGTTACCATGGGGTGCCTGGGTGGCTCAGTCATTAAGCATCTGCCTTCGGCTCAGGTCATGATCCCAGGGTCCTGGGATCAAGCCCCGCATCTGGCTCCCTGCTCCGCGGGAAGCCTGCTTCTCCCTCTCCCACTCCCCCTGCTTGTGTTCCCTCTCTCGCTGTCTGTCAAATAAATAAATAAAATCTTTTTAAAAATTTAAAAAAATGTAGTTACTAATAGGAAAATTTGACTAATGTGGGGATATATATTTAGAAAATGTAGTTAGCAGAAAGATAATAGAAATATGTATGTGTGACTGACTGATCAAATAATTCATAGGTTAGAAAGTTCACTTTCATATGCTCTTTGAGGTCAGTGTCTCTAGGACATTTGGAAAAAATCTTTGGAAATAGGAAATTGAAAAGGTGTCCCTGCTGAAGAGCTTTCTGATAAAGGGGAAATGAGGTTTGGCATTTGGAACTAGTTTCTGGAGACTAAGAGAGCACCAAATTCTAGTTCTCATTGAAACCATTTATAACTGATCTAGATGTTACACTGAACTTTATGTACAGTTTTCTTGGAGTGTCACCTCTGAGTTATATTTAAAAGTCAGGACACATTCACTGGTGACAAGGTTTCAGAACAGAGGCAGCCTTCTAGCATCTGTTATGTAACTCAGCTCCTGTTGGAGGAAGTGGGCAGGATGTTTTGGAGAGAAGAAGAAAAGGAAGCAGACAATAATGCAGGGATGAGCTGAAGGAGAGGGGTTGCAGGCTTTTGCCAGTGTGGTCTACCACCGCAAATAGCAAATGACTAGGTGTTTCTCTTCTGATTTTAATCTTACCAAAAGAGCAAATCTCTGATGTGCTAACAAAGCACATAACTAGGTTTATGCCATGGCCTGAGGGAAGGCTTGGGGGAGTTATGGTATAATTATACTTAGGATTAGTGGAATGGTGGGCTTGCAGGCAGATAAAATGGTCCCTTGACTGCCTCTCCTTCCTTGTGTACAGAGGCAACTGGAAGATTATCATGTTATATGATTCTTAAATAGAGCCAGTGACCTCAAGTGAGTGTTGCCTTTACGAATTCCACATGTGTAATTGAAGAACCCTTATTATGCAAAGAAGTTCTATTTATAAAAGTAGTGTCTCCCTTGTGTGGCACTTGTATTTAATTTGGTATAAGACTATGCCCCTACTTTTTTAGATATCCTTAAATTTCACAGAAGTTTAAATTTTATGGAATCTACTTTGAAATTATGAAATCTAGGATATTTTCCTCCCTAGAAGAAATACCCTAAAAGGTTTTCCTTTAATTGTATGTGAAAATAATTATTTGTGATTCATAATTTGATTGGATGTTCAGTAGTTGCCAAAACCATATGTGTATTTTCTCCATGTTCTAGTGCTTAGAACTGATACCATTTTAACATTTGACAAAGTAAAACAGCATTTTCCTCTGGTGATGCAACTTTTACAGGGTAGTTTGTGTGTTATACAGAGGGTTGTTTTTGCCTTGTGGTTATTTCTGTGTTTGTACCCATACTAGGAGGCTCCGGAGTAGAAAAGGAAGCCAGTCCACAGTGTGTATGTTGCTTCCATGTAACTAACAGCTGTGGAAACTTCTGATGAGGGAAGAAGCAACTCATTTTGGGGAGACATCATTTATCTGTGCTGGTTCCTTTACTTCCTTCAGTCCCTTCCTTTTGCTGCCTCGAATGCTCTTGGTATTGCTAACACTGTAATATAAAAATGATAAGTGAAGTAAACAGGTAAATTGAGTGATCTGGCCAGTCATCAGTGACTCAAATGGGCGGGGGAGGTATTTATGACACTCTTCCTCCAATAAAGACAACCGATGCCAGACTTTTCTGATATTTGATAAGTTGGCCCAGCTCTTTTTAGTCTCTGATTTTTATGTCACTGAAAGATTACATTTTTTTAAAGATTTTATTTATTTGAGAGAGTGAGAGCAAGAGAAAGGGAGGGAGGGAGGGAGGGAGAGTGAGCAAGCACATGTGCACATGCTTGAGCAGGGTGAATGGGCAGAGGAAAAGAGAGGAGCAGGCTTCCCGCTGAGCAGGGCGCCTGAGATCCTGACCTGAGCCAAAGGCAGACACTTAACCCACTTAACCAACTGAGCCACCCAGGCGTCCTGAAAGATTACATTTTAAGATCCGAGTTACGTTAGGAAAGTCACTGCCAAGTTAGTGGTCAACAACTCTTTGAATTTCTTGATTTACACTATGCCAGAATAATGTTGCTATTAAGTAATGTTCCAGTTATTAGTGCTTCTATACATTGCATACCTGGTAAATAGGGAACAACTAGAAGAATTAATTTGGAACTGTCATTTCTTAGAAGCCTGCTCAAATTTTTTTCTAGCTTCTTGGCGAGCCATTAAAGAAAAATAATTCAGCTATGAAGGGAGAAAGCCTTCCTTCCTACTTGGCTTTCAGTGCACAAACAAGAAATTAGGAATCAGAGGGTAACAGTTCTAGGAAATGCTTAATTGAGGGGGAAACTTTATGTATATTAAGTTGTCTAAAGATCTTTGTGTGAAGAAACTATGAAAACAGAAAAAACATCTTTTGTTCACCAGACTAAATCTTCGTAAGCCATCGTTGTGTAATTTTGAATCTTGCTGAACAACATTCTGAAGGTTATTAAATTGAGACCTTTGTCTTCTTTATTTTTAGCACATTCAAGTATATATATAAATCTCTGGAATGTTGAAGGAGTGACATTCCACAAGTGTCAGATTTTTTTTTTTTTCTGTTGCCCATTGTGAGGAGGAGACCAGTAAATTAAGAATGTTTGGTTCTTTCTCCTATATTTGCTGTCTTTTTGGAGCTCCGTTTACAGAATAAAGAATTGCTTTTTGTAGTTAGATTATTGAATAGGAAAATCACTGTTTTAAATTACTGTTTTCTGACAGTGACTAATGATTAATTAACCAAGCTAGCATTAGTAGAAAAGCATTACTATAGTATTAAATGTCTCCAAGGCTTAGACTGTCTCACTGAACAGCAACAAAAAACATAGAGTTCACAATAACTAGATTTAGAACCAAGAATTACACTCTACGTTACATTCTTCAAAGGTGGCTTCTTTCCTCGTGTTCTGGAATGTAGAGACTTACGAATATCTTTGCAGATTCTGTCATAGCAACTTTAATGTGTTCAGTATTAGATTCTGAAGTAACTGTTAGTCCATTTTGGGGAATTCTGGTACATTCTAATTTTTATCCAGTCATTCTGTTACAGTAACAAAGCAATCACTCACATATTTTAATGAGTTACCAGTAAGAACTAGCTGGCCATTGGGATGAGTTCCACTGCACCCTTTAAATCTGGCAAAATACAGTTGTATTTTGTACCCATGGATAGATCTAGGGAATATTATGCTAAGTGAAATAAGTCAGACAGAGAAAGACAAATACTGTGTGATTTCATTTACATGTAGAATCTAAAAAACAAAACAAACAGAAATAGACTCATAAATACAGAGAACAAACTGATAGTTGCCAGAGGGTTCAGGGTAGGGAAAATGGGTGAAGTGGGATTAAGAGGTACAAACTCTGATAATAAAATAAATAAGTCATGGAGATGTAAAAGGAATATAGGGAATATAGTCATATATATTATATAGTTATAGGGAATAGAGTCAATAATATAATTACTTTGTATGATGACAGATGGTAACTAGACTTATAATAGTGATCATTTCATAATGTATATAAATGTCTAACCACTATGTCATACACCTGAAACTAATATATTATGCGTCAACTATACTTCAGTAAACAAATCTGGAAAAATAATGTGGTTTGAAATTACCTTTTAGAATAAAAAACAGTTTGAGAAAAAAAATTAATGAAAATGATTAATAGAAAAAATTATTCTTAGGTCCAAGAGAACTAGATTATTGTAACGAAAGAGATTCTTAAACTGGCTCTTGGAATAGAATCAAATACTACCTTTAACAAATGTGGAACTATTTTTAGGGACATGGCTTTGAGTATAGCAGCGTGTCTGTATGGTCTGAGAGGACACTCACCATTGTTTGCAGTGAGGTTCTTCTTACTTTGTTTCTTGACTTGTTTTCTTGGTTGTTTGCCTTTTATTGGGCCCTTGGCTCTAAGTCACATATGGGGGATGGACTAGTGATATACAAGATTTTTGAAAATGTTAAAAAGAATATGAAACTGATACTGGCATTCTTGTAATTGCATATGTTATTTCTTTATTTACTTTCAGTTTGGTTAATAAACTTAAACCTGGCATTATTAAGAAGATCAATAGATTATCCACACCAATAGCAGGTTTGGTAAGTAAAAAATTATCTTCGAAACTGGATTTGTTTGTTTTCAAAATGTAAAATGATGAGCATAGACTGGTACTCTTATCTGGAATTATCATAGAAATTAGGTTTGGGGTTTCTTGCTCAAGGAAAGTGTTTTTAGTGATATCCTCCTATATCTTCAGTTTTTTTCTGTTTCCCTTCTGCTGGGAGACTTTTATTTTTTGTTGTTTGTTTTGCTTTTCGTGCCCTCAAACTTCATATATCCCCTTTCTTAGCGTATTTCTTCCACAAATTGCATTTGTTTATGATCACCTTCTTTCTGAAGCTCAGCCCTGCATACTTTGTTTGCCAGTTGACCACACTTTAGGAAACTCTAGATGTTCCCCAGTTGTTACGTTTCTCTTGCTTCATGCTTATGCATAACCCTCACTTAGCCTGCAGATCTTGGAGTGTATTTGCAACAAGTTTGCTTTATATCATAGATTTCCTACCAGAGTTCTGTGTGATATTGGGTAGGTCACTATCTTCTGTTGCCTCAGTAATACTACCTATCAGATGACTATGAGATAAGTCTCTAGATTCTTTCTAGCTTTAAATTTGGATTCTGTGTATGAAAAATACCCCACACTGTCATTATATGGATACTCTAGTGGATCAATAATTGAAAGACCAATAGAAAGGTGGGGCTGTATCTTTGAAAAAGAAGTAATTTATAATTAAGTACAAATGATGGGTTATTTTCAAAATGTTAGCAACCCCTAAGAATCAAGGCTGATGACAGGAGTCAATTTAAAAAAATTAATTTTGTAAAACACTGAAGTTTAACACAGCTACTACCTGGAATTATATATATATAAATATTAATTATATATAATATTAATTCCTTCTTTCTTACCAAGTTATTTCTATTCCATTTCTATCATGACATGATTTCTGTCATGACATGATATTTTTATTGGTCTCAAATTTGGTTAGGTATAAAAAACTATCATGTATGCATATATTGTTATGTGAATATATATATATATGACTGTATAGCAATATACATATATGTATGAATTACTTCTATTAATATAGCAAGTCAGAAGATATTATTTCAATAATAAAATTGAAGAAATTTGGTTTTCAGTTCTTCCTAGGAAGAAACATTCAGTTTAATAAAAATAAAGCCTTACATGAAAATCATTTTTATGAAATAACTTCTGTGAAAATTAAAAGTTTGAATCATATTGAAAGTTTTTTCAAGTGGCTCGAGTTCTTCTTACTATAATGTTTAGATTTTGAATTGTCATATCTTGAATCAATTACACACATTGTAAATGAAATTAGCCTTTGATTTCAAACACCCTTCATATTTGGAATACTTGAATTGTGGTGATTTGTTGTTATTGGCCACTAGAGGTTTTATTCAGTCTTCTGATTCTATGATTAGATGAAAGCCAAATGTATTTTATATTTAAATCCAAACATCTCTCCAACTATTTCTGTTTCAAGCATGGAAATTCTATCTGGTTTGGATTTTATCTCTAGACACTAAAATGAAATGTATTTCCGGAACATTAACTGGGATGATTTCCCAAATACAGGACACTGAGCATTTTCAATGGGATGTAGGAGCATGAGAATAACCACAGTTGCAGAATTGGGCTGTAATTGGTTTGAAGTTGTCATCATACCTCATTTGACTCCTTCTTCTCACACTTGTGTGTCAGGATGGTTATGTCAAAATTTCTTGAAGCCTCATTTTGAAGTGTGCATTAGAGCTCCAGCATCTACCTGGTAAGGCTGTCATATATGCGTAGAAAGGGATTATGTAGGTAGTCTGACATATAGATGCTAAATGAATGTTGTTTTGTTGCATATTAATTTTTTAAACAAATAATTGAGTGCCTACTAGGTCGAGAACTTTTCTAGTTTATAGGGATATATTGGAGGAATAAAAACATTAAGGACATTATCCTCAAAAAGCTTCCATTTTAGTGGTAGAGCAGGATCTAGCAAATAAATTAGGAAATGAGCAAGAAATCACCAGATATAAATGTGCTGCAGAGAATTATAATAGACTGACATTTGTTGCACACTTATGAGCACTCATAGTTGGACTATGAAGATTGACCTCAAAAATTCCTCAAGGAATATGTCAGAAGCCTTTGTTTTTGATGTGTATAGAAGAAAGATAAAAAACCCAAGCTGGACTCTTTATACTAGTAATTTCTGTGTTCACAGCAACTAACATAATGACTGATACATTTGGAGGTAAAATATTTATTTTTTAAAGATTTTATTTATTTACTTGAGAGAGAGAGAGAGAGAGAGCCCAGAGGGAGAGGGAGAAACAGACCCCCCCCCCCCCCCCCGCCCCGAGCAGAAAGCCTGACGCTGGGCTCCATCCCAAGACCCTGAGATCATGACCCTAGCCTAAGTCAGAATGAGCCATCCAGATGCCCCCAAAGATTTTTTTTAATGAATAAGTGGAAAAGTTTTCAATTGTGAAAAATAGTAAGCTCTCAAATTAGATCTTTGAAGGGGATAGTATTATAGGTTGAATTGTGCCTTCCCCCAAACATAATATTTTGAAGTCCTAAACCCCAGTACCTCAGAATGTGACCTTATTTGTGAATAGGATTGTTGCAGATGATGTACTTAGTAAAGCCGAGGTCATAATGGAATAGGGTGGGCCCCTAATCTAGTATAACGTCCTTATAAGAAGATGACTATGTGAAGACAGGTACACCCAGGAAGAATGCCATGGGACAATGGAGGACCGGGTTGAGGCATGTATAGGCAAGGAGAACCAGAGCTTGCCAACAAGCCACCAGAAGCCGGAAGGGGCAAGGAATAGTTTCCTTACAGGTTTCATGGAATCCTGGCTTTGTAGACACCTTGATTTTGGACTTTTAGCCTCCAGAACTGAGGGACAATAAATCTCTGTTTTAAGCTACCCAGTTTGTGGGGCTTTGTCATCGCAGTGCTAGGAAACTAATACAAATAGGTAAGTGTTTTTTTTTTTTTAATTTAATACTTGCTTTAAAAAAATTTTTTATTTTAAAATAGAGATTCACAGGAAGTTAAAAAAAAAAAACAGTACAGAGAGGTCTTCTGTGTCCTTCACCCAGTTTCCCCCATGGTAACATTTTGCATAACTGTGATATGATATTAAAACCAGGAAAGTGACATTGGTACATCTAAAGATCTTAATCTGATTCACCAGTTTTATATGCAGTTAATGCTTTTTTAGTAACAAAGAGCAGAGGTGCTTTCAAGCTAAGTGAGATGAAGTGTTTTATTTTAAGGAATTTTCAGAGGACTCTGTCATTAATTTGGTGTTCAGCCATAAATATGACAGTCACATTCCACATGATTACTTTTTCTGCCCCATTGCAAACAGGAAATGGTGTCTCTCAGTTGAAGTTCCCAAGAGAAGAATCTGAATAGATCAAATTACCTTGTCTTTCCAGGCTACAGATATCATAGGTCACTAGCCAGCTGGTGGATGCGTTCCTTGAGAAGAGTGTCCTCTTGGCAAAATGGGCTGTGGTTAGGAATGTCGGTAGCCTTTGGCTCACTGAGTTCAAGTGTGTGGGTTAAAGAGGGTTCTGTGAATGAGGTTTCTCTGGGGTAGATAATATTAAGTTAAATATAGTAAGAATTATACAATTTCTATGCTCCAAGCCCTGTTTTCCATCACTCCCTTCTTATTCTCTTTCCTTCTGCTATAACTTTTATCCATTTCATGTCAGTTACTATATTTGCTTTGAAGCCAAGGCACTGGATTTACTGTTTATAGATGGCCCTATGTGAAACACATGGAATATCCTCTGAGCAATGACAATGAAGAGAGATGTTTAGCTGATTTAGAAATGTACTGAATGCTTTGCTTGAAACATTCACATTATTTTATGAATGTTTTGGCTTTGGGAAGGCATTAACCATGTTCTCATAGATTTAGAGAGACAGTTTTTCTCACTTGACTAAGTTTTAATTTTTAAAGAAATACATTTTTCTCTATCTTTGTATTCTTCACAAAGCCATGCTAAAAAAATCTCACCCAAGAGTTTGAGTTTTCCAAAAAATTAACCAGTGTTAAGTGTGGGTATGTTCAATTCATTAAAACTCAAAACTAAAAGTGTATTTGGGAATTAAAAAACTCAACCTCAAAACAAAACCGTGAGAAACAAGCAAGATAATTCTGGTGGTGAAAAGAGCCATTGAACCAGAATAATGTTTACCATCTGATGTGTTAACGTGCATGAAATACAATATGTGTAGAGAACATCAAGGAAGTTATTAACCCTAAGACTTACAGTTGTCTTGGACCCCTAATGATTTAATTGTATTTACTAAAGCAAGGTTGCTCAACTTTGGCACCACTGACTATTGACAGTTTGGACCTGATAATTCCTTGTTGGGGGGGGGGTCTTTCTTGTGCATTGTAAAATGTTTAGTAGCTTCCCTGGACTCTACTCACTAGATGCCAGTAACACCATGTTCCCCACCCCAAAGTTATGACAGCTAAAAATGTCTTCTGACATTGCCAGTGACCCTGATGGGGTAAAATCATCCCTGACTAAGAGCCACGGAGCTAGAGTTCAGAAAGTAAACAATACCCCTTTACATGGGCTAGTTTGCTTACTGAGTATAGATTTGCGTGATCTACTTAGGCCTGCCATTTCAATTGCAGTTTCTTTTAGAAAAGAAATGGTATTCTAGAAAATCTGGTTTGAATCATTTGTTTGAAAGTTTGTGTCTATTAGTGGGCTTAATAGAAAAATCTTCTTGGGGCGCCTGGGTGGCTCAGTCAGCTAAGCGTCTGACTCTTGATTTCGGCTCAGGTCATGATCTCAGGGTCGTGAGATGGAGCCCAGCATCGGCTCTGTGCTGGGTGTGGAGCCTGCTTAAGATTCTCTCTCCCTCTCCCTCTGCCCCCCACCCTGCCCCTCTCTCTCTCAATTTCTTCAGTATATCCACACTTGCTTCAAAAATATGAGCTGAATTTGAGCATCTTTCCTCCAAAGGGTTACTCT